CAGGGCTGGAGGCTGTCCCCTCCTGTCTCCCCTGCATCCCGTTCCCCTTACCCCATGCAGTCCCCAGCTGTCCCCAGCCCCGGGCTGCCCCCAAACCTGCCCCGGCAGCGCCCAGCTCAGGGCACCTCACTGCCTGCTTGTGCACCCCGAGTTGCCGAGCTCCTGCAGCCCTGCTGCGTACAGGGCACCGGTATCGCAGCCATCACAAAACGCTGCTTTGTTGGGGTTTTTTTTTGGAGTGTGTCTGTGCTGCTTTTTTTCCTCAGTAGCCACCCGTTGCACTCGGGTCCTGTGTTGTTGTTGTTGTTTTCAGGCTTGAGAATTACTTTGGTCAGGGAAATATTTTTTTTTGCCCCGAGACGTTATTTAACCCAAAGTGTTGCATCATTCTGAAGTAAAATGATTTTTTGGTAGTGTTTACTTTGGATTAATAACCTGGCACTTGCATTCCTTCGGGAGTTTAGATGTCTTTTGTAACCATCAGAAGTTGTACGTGCAGCAGCCCATTACTCCGTGGCTGTCCCCGTCCAGACTTCACTGAAACAGTCCATGAAACAGCTCGTGGACATTTCTCTGGATGTCAGATCATTCCCCAGGACTGATTAATTTTCAGAGCAGAGAGTGTGAAGGAATTTTCCTATATTTGAGAATTGCAAGTAGAAACGTTTCCAGTAATGTTTAAGACCAGTTTATATAAGTCTGTTGTTAGTTGTGGCTACACCTTTAAAGCATAATTAATCTGTTAAATAAAGAAATTGTGAAGCATTGAATAATAGATCAAGGATAAGGCAGATTCCAAAAGTAAAAATAGATTAGAACTAGAAAATGTTGCTTTATTAACTGTTGCAGTGCATAAACCCCTGCTTAAACCACTTTGATGCATTTTTGGCTTCTGATGAGCAGGCATATCTCAGACCAGAGCTGACGTAGCTGTTCCTGTCCCCATCCTCTGAGCCTGAAAGGTGCTTTTCCTTTGTAATTTAAGGACTTGATTCAAACCTTCCTCACTTCAGCACTGGTTTGTCTGCTGACTTCAGCTGCCTTTTTCACCTGGGACTTTTTAATTTTCCACAAAATTGTGTTTAAATGGGGCGTTGAAGAGAAATGTTGTGTTCTGTGGAGGCTGGGAGTAGCAGCATGAATTACACCTGGCAGATAAGGTGTGGGCAGGAGCATTTAGGCTGAATATTTTCAAAACTTTTCATACATTTTTGGAAAGGGAGCTTTAGAAGTTCTGTTGGATGTATATGTGTGTGTGAGTTGTAAAATGAAATTGTTCACCACAGTGTTTTGGATACTCTTGCTTGCTAGGACATACTCAGACCTGGTTTTGAGTGGTACTTCACTCCAGAACCAGGACCAAGGAAATGGATGGGGTTTGAGATATACTACTGAGAAGAAAAAGGGAGTCAGGAGCTGACCAGTGAGGAATAGCAGAGCCTGTGACTCCAGCTGAGCTGTGGATGCTGGCATGCTGGGGGAAGCCAAAAATTACTGAACCTGTAGGATTCTTGTGACTAGGGCAAAGTTAGACTATTAGAGTGCTTTCTCTTTCTTCAAGAGAGAGAGGTTAGAAAGTAAACTTTATCTGCCTGGCAGGCTATAGTGGTAGTTTTATGGCCATGTTAGTCTTATAAGCAAATACTCCATGTGTTTGGGCTCACCTGTGGCATAGAGCTGCTGGCTTCATTACCTGTGTGTTTAGGAGTGCTTGCTGTTTGGGTTGCACACACTATTTAACAGCTTGACTCTAACACAACAGCTTTTTCCTAAATTACTGACTGATCTGTAAACATGATTTTTGAGCTGGCTTCTGCTGGTTGAACTAGAGTAGTATTTACCCAGTAGAGCACAGTCTAATGGCATTTATCATGTAAACCCCAAGGCAAGATCTGTAAGCTTCTTTCCTCAAGCTAATGTTTGTTTTGATGCACAGTCTTCCTCAGAATCATTACCATTTTTTATGTGCATTTTCACAAGTTTATGTACTGCTGACCAGTGCCTTTGGTCTATCACTCCTGCTCTCAGACATCAAGAGTTAATTAAGCTTACTTTTGGGTACGGCCAGAACGTTTACCTACTGGTATTTCTCCTTAGGAGACTGGATTTTGCATTAAATTCATATAATAAAATGTCTGATAAGCTTTTGGTTAAAAAATAGGCAAAAGAAGCGCAGTAACCTATTTCCAAACCCTAACATGTCAACTGCTCGTTGTGGTTTCTGGTTTTTCAAACATAGCCAGTAGTTTGCATTTTGGTTTGTGCTTATCTAAGCTGTATTGGGCAAGTGGCTGAAATATTTTCGTTCCACTCTTGCAGGGGGAATGCTGCCACAGTAGTATCTTCTTGGATGTGGACACATGCAAAGCTTCTTCTATTATACATTTGAGACTTCTTTTTAGTTACATGTAATTCTAGATAACAACCACAGAATCCATAGTTAGACTTCTATTTTAGCTACTTCCACTTGGACTTCTCTAATAAAACTATCACGCAGTCTCATATCTGCAAAGGAACTCAACCATCAGCTATTATCATAAGAAATAAGAAGGAACGGTTATTTAAAAGCCTTTAAATTAACAGATAATTTCCTATCTTAGCTTCTCTGTGAGGCAGGATTCCCGGCTGGTGTGCTTGGTCCTTGCACCTGCCTGGACTCACTCAGGCTCTGACCTGGGGAAGCAGAGTGGCACGTACCATGGCCCATCAATGCTCAGGATCTGGGACTGTAAATCCCTGACAGTCCTGGATCCATCCCTCAGCAGCTCCATACATGGTCGTGGCTTCAAACCTCCTGAACCGTGTCAGGAGCCTGTGCATTGAGATCCATGGGAGATATAAGTATTGTGAGTCAGCCTCAAATCTTCTTATTCAGCCTTAATGAGCCACGGTAACTTGTGGGGTGTCAGAGGCAGCTCCTGCACACCCAATCTGTCCTATTTCTGGGATTTATTGATTATTCATCTCCTTTGTCTACTGCTGTTTTGAACCCCAGGCCTGCGACCGAGACCAGCAGTGCGGAGGAGGGATGTGCTGTGCGGTCAGCCTCTGGATCCGCAGCCTGCGGATGTGCACGCCGATGGGAAATTTGGGAGAGGAGTGCCATCCTTTGAGTCACCGAGTGAGTACGTCACCGGGGGGGCTGTGGGGCCCGAGCTGGCAGGGCAGAAGAACACAGGACTATACCGTGCTGTGCGTCACGTTGCATAAAAGCTCTACGTGATGCTGTGCGTTACAGCACCCAGCTATTTGCAGCTGTGTGGAGAGGGAGCTGAAGGTACCTGCGTAAGGAAACACATTACTGTCAGCTTTATGCTGAAGAGAATCCGAGGATGAAAGCACTACACGCTTCCCAGATTGGTTTCTTATTAGTTTGGTGTTGCTGTTTTGCTTCGTTTGATGATCCGAAACAGCCTTAGTAGTCCCCAGGCCCAGCCCTGCCAATGCCTGTGCCTGTGAGCGGGAGCGTAGCGAATGCCACCGACCTCAGTGAGCTGGACAAGATCCCATGACAAGCCTAAAAATGTCACCAGCCAGTGTTGGGACACCGGGTGCATCACTGCAGCACGGTCCCTGGCATCAAACAGCCACGTCCTGTTGTGCTCTGGAGGCTGAGAGCCACTGGTGCCTTCAAAAGCCATGGAGAAGGTGTTGACACACACTTGCACTTAAGAAAACTCACTGCAGGCTCTCTTTGCTTCTATTAGTTTCAAATATATATGGATGTGTACATATGCATAAATTTTTGCTCCTATTAATTTCAAATGTATATGTATTTACACATATACATACAGATATATACCACTAGTTACATATTAGTACTTTATTATATGATACACTGCACTATTAATATAATTATATTAAGAAGTAAATTTATTTAAGACTATATAATTATGTATATTATGTGTACTGTGAAAAGGCTGTTTATTTATAAATAATACCAAAGGCTGAGAGAGACACCAGAGAGCTTGAGAACCTGGTGGTCTTCAGAGCTGTCCTCAGGGAAGAGTATGGTCCAAGAGTCACCACATGAAAAATACCAAGGCAATAAATTTAGATCATAAATGTGCAGCTAGTTAGCTGCCTCTCTCACAGTCTTATCCAATGCCTGGCTTCTCAGCTCAGTATCTATGGTTTGTTTTCTCAGTTTTAGGGAGTTCAAGGCACTGCTCTATTACAATTAATTTTTAAAACCTTCTACTGTGATATTTGGAATCAAATTCTCATTTTTACCACATAATGCAGCAGGTTTTTCTTGTAAGACTTCCTTATATTTAATAGGTGTTTCAAGATAAGGGAGACTGTCTTCTAGGTTTCTTGGGGGTTTTTATGAGCTTATTGCTATTGGGCAATAATTTATACTGTCTGGCATATTTTAAGCTAATTGCCTGCATAATTACAATCAGAGAAGATGCCTGTCCACCCCAGACTCACAGTCATAGGCACTGATATTTATAAGCTGTGTGAGGTCAATTTTAGATTTAGATTGCTCACCCTACTGCTCTTCATGACAAACACAAAGTGAGCTGATTTACTGTAGTATGTGAAATTAGTTTTTTTTAAGGATGGAGAGTTTGCTCAGGGATTCCATGCCCCTAAATCCTTGTGTGGACAGAAGCTGGGAGACCAATTGCCATGAGCACCAAAACCTTTCATTTGCCTGCAGGTCAGGTACAAAGCAGGCCACGGTGCCACCACGCTGGGGACCTCCAGAGCAGCTTGGAGGAGATGACTGGCAGTTGGAATTCCACCTTCTTGGCAACTAGATGGCATTGGCTGGATGCCATTAACCATCTCAGTTGGCACTGCAGGCAGGGTTGGCAGGCAGGGCTGGGCAGGTGAGGTTGAGCAGGTCAGCAGACAGAGCTGGCAGCTCGGAGGTGGCTCAGTAAAACCTGGTGCTGGGCACATGGGCTCTGCCTGCACAGGCAGAAGCTGCTCACCCCAGCAGAGAGCCCATCCTGCAGAGCTGTCACCCGCTGCCTGTCCCCGCCCGGCTGCGTTATTAAGCCACATCTTCAGCGTGGGAGTCCCCTGAAAGGAATGTTTCCTTGCAGCAAATGTAACATTTTGCATAAATCGCTTGAGCTGTCGGAGGGCTGAGAGGTAGCTCTGAGTCAGCCTCACCAGCGTGAGGAGCTCACATTTTAGGTTTTAATGCAGTGCTGTGCGTGGGCACCCGAGAGGTGTGATTCCTACAGGGAGTCCCCGGCACCCGTGGTTGGTGGCTGCTCTGCTCGTGCTGGGGCACAGGGGCCATGGTGAAAGGCACGGGGAAGCCCACAGCATCCCTTGTGCTGGGACAGCTCTTCAGATGGTGCTGGCCAAGGGGCTGGTGCTGGCCCAGGGCACCACGGGTGATGTGAGCCCCCCGCTCACCCGCTGCACCTTGTGAGGTGTCATTGGGATCTGGCAGGTCATAGAATCATAGGATGCTTTGGGTTGGAAGGGACCTTTAAAGCCCGTCCACTCCAACCCCCCTGCACTGCACAGGGACATCTGCAACCAGGGCAGGTTGCTCAGAGCCCTGGCCAACCTCACCTGGAATGGTTCCAGGGATGGGGCATCAACCACTTATCTGGGCAACCTGGGCCAGTGTTCCACCACCCTCAGTGTAAAAAAAATGCTTCCTTCTCTCTAGTCTAAATCTCCCCTCTTTTACTTTAAAGCCATCACCCCTTGCCCTGCTGCAAGAGGCCACACTGAAAAGGTTGTCTGGATCAGGTGCTTGGTGTGGTGCACAGGGAAAGCAGAGGACTGATGGAGCTGTTAGGGAGCAGCAGTGCACAATTAAACGTTTAACACAGCCCGTGTGTGTGCTCCCTGCACACAGCGTGGGGTGAAACGAGCAACCTCTGCCCTGGGCTGAAAAGGGTCCTGCTCCAAGGGAGATGGGGCAAGATGACCCCCAGAGATCCCCCCCAGGCTGAATCACCAGGATCCTGCAGTCCCTGGGTCCTGTGGCTGACAGGCTGGCACAGGAGCCAGGGCGAGCAGAAGCCCCTGCAGAGTAAACACCACAAAACGTGATGCTGAAGGCCACTGCAGTTTCAGCACAGGCTCCTTTCTGAGATGGGAACAAATGGAGACCATGTCACAGACGCAGATTTACACAACAACACGGACTCCTGTTGTTTTGCTCTTGACTGGGAAATGCAGCAGCCTTGGCTTGGCCGCCTGCTCTGCAGCCCGGTGCCGCAGCTCGTGGGGATCTCTTGGATGGTGGGAGGTGTGTACATCCCCGGGTCCCCCTCACCCAGCCTTGCTCCCCGTCCCTGACGCCTGTGCTCTGTCCCCAGGTGCCCTTCCCGGGGCGGCGGACGCACCACACGTGCCCGTGCCTGCCCGGCCTGGCCTGCCTGCGGACCGCGCCCGGCAGATTCAGGTGTCTACTGGACTTCAGGAAAGAAGACGTCTTTTTTTAGCAGGAGCTAGAAAAAAGCCATTTGATGTTGGTTTGTTTTTTTCTTGTTATTGTGACGAACAAGGTACTTGCCAGGGGAAACCCCTTCCCATCCTTTCCTGCCTCACCAGCGCCGAAGCGGAAGAGGAGATGCTGTGCTGTAGGGGCCAAGGTTTCCAGGAGGGACTCGTAGGGGCAGATGTTCTCCTTTTGGGGCAAGCCAAATGACATCTGCTGAAGCAATGCTGCTTTCTGATGGTAGGAGCTTAACGATTTCTGAACCATCTCGTGGTCTTCATGGTTCCAGCTTAACCCCAGAATGAAAACATCCGAGATTATTGTCACTTTTGGAAAATTTTGGCCATGTCTTTACACTTTGAAATGCCTGAATCAAACTGAGAGTTGAATAATTGTGTAATGTGAAGCATAGGATGGTTGCCAAAAAAAAAAAAGTTATTAGCATTACATTTCGTATCTTTATTAATATCTGTATTTGTAAATTAGGTGCATCTCTAGGGTAAAAATTTAACTAATAGACGTAGTTTTGACACTGGCAGGTGGAACCAAAGCACTTCGATATTCAAAGCATCACAAGATTTTGTTATTTTAGTATTCTGAGATGAGAAGTTGTTGTTGCTTGAGTTGGTGTAAAACTACCTGATCATCTCAAACTATGTATTAAGATGTAGTTTATATTAAAAAAGGAACCCTGAAGTTTATTGTAATGGGCTGCCTGACTTCTTGTATATGTATCAAATTTGCTGTGTAAAAATTCTGTATCAGAATAATGGCAGTATATGATTGATTTATTTTAATATTATAACATTATTTTGTCATTGTGGTTTTCCATCTTTATTCAGTGTAATCTGTTCTCACATACTCATCTCACCCAAGCAAGCACAGCTCCTTATGTATAGCTTAGCAAAAGATGATATGCCCCTGGCTGCTTTTAGGGAAACTCAGCAGTTTACAAGGCCTCACATCCTCAACCAAGCTGCAGTCTTAGACGATGGAGAAAGCCTGGCGTAGCTAATATGTGAGGTTTTTCTTGGCACATGCCTCAAAGGATCAGCTTTAGCCCAGCAAATATAAAATTGGTGGGTTTTCTATGAAGTACTGTACAACTTCGTATTTACTTGTCAGTCCCTGGAGCTGGAATTCCAATAGTCTGTGTGAGTTTCACACGTTTCTCGGTCTCAGACATGCAAACATGTGCTGGAACTGGAAAAGTGAAGTCATTCATCTTTCAACAATCAGTGCTTTACTGCTGATGATGACGGGAGGGCAGGTTGAGGGAAGTTAGCACACTTGTACTAAGGCAAACACCTGTATTACGTAGAGAAGATGAGAAATGTCCTGCTGAGTTTACCAGGTACCTTTTGCTGGGCTCCACAGCCTCCCTAAGGAGACAGAAAGGAACAACTGGACTTGTTATTTTGCCAGATCCTAGTGGATCCTGCACACACTAGAAAAATACGTGTCTGGAGAGGCTGGGTTGCATCTCCCTGGCTGAAGTCAGCCCAGCCCACAGCTCCCACTCCAAACCCTGCATATTTTGTCTCACTCTTTGCTGTGGTGATAGAGCAGCAGTGCAAGTGTTAACAGAATCAGGTCCTGTAGAAAGAGATTAAGTCTGAGGGGCTACCAAATGGTAATTTTATATGTGTTGTGCATTAACATGATCAGGTACAAAGTGCCTGTATTGGATCTGAAGCCTTAGAGGGGCTCATGGCTCACCCAAAGGGCAGGGTTGCACTGATAAGAGACCAGCTCATCCCAGTGTTAGTGCAGTGGCATGTGGGCACTGTAGGAATTCCAACAGCCTACATTTAAAAATAAACCCAAAACCTGGTCCTACCTCTGTCTCACTTAATAGTGGGGCTCCCCAAATACAGCATGAGCCTCAGAGGAGGAACACACTGGCAGCCTGGGTGTTACTTTTCTGTCCATGTCTATCAGTATAAAATGAACTTAACACAATGAACCTTTGGGGTCAGTCTCTTTTCAGTGGTGTCCACTGACATGATAAGGGATAACAGGCACAAACTAGAATCCAGGAAGTTCCATCTGAACATGAGGAAGAAGTTGGCACCTATGAGGGTGACAGAGCCCTGGATGAGGCTGCTCAGAGAGGCTGTGGGGTCTCCTTGTCTGGAGACTTTCAAAACCCAGCTGGGTGCCATCCTGGGCAACCTGCTCTAGATGATCCTGCTTTAGCAGTGGGGTAAGATAAGATGATCTCCAGAGGTTTCTTCTAACCCCTACCATTCTGTGATTCTGCATGAATTCAATTCAGACTCAAAGGGAATCTCAAGAAGGAAAACAGAAGCAGCTCAAATGTGTGTGTGTCCCATCTCTTGCTCCATTCCTTTTTACCAAAGCACATTGTCACGGTGCTCAAACTGATGAACCATAGCAGGAAAAAGCAGCCTTCCTTCTCATCTCCCACTGGCATAAATCACCACTGAATCCAGTGAACAGAATATTCCTGGTTTATATAATTGTAAATGAGTGGACAATTATCTCTGCTGCCTGCCTTAGACCTGCCAAAGTGAACTCCTAGGAGAGTTTATCAGACAAGAGCAGAGTAACTTTGTAGTTGTAATTTGTGCCAATTAACTTGTGGGATTAGGCATTTATCTGGGTAATGAGAACAGTTCCAATTATATGAGTTCAAAGTTCAGACCAGCTGTAAGATGTTGAAGTGCTCATGTCCTGCAAATGCTCCCGGACAGAACTTCAGGAAGGTGCTTCTTTAAGAGCATCATTATCCTGTACTTGCCTTCGAGGGGCTTCTCCACACCTGCCCTGCTGCCACCAGAGCCCAGCTGCTGATGCAGAAAAGCTAAAGGCAGAACCTCACTGTCCTACATCCCCGCTATATTCTCTTGGCAATCATTATTACAATTCCCCTTTTAGTAATCTAATTCTCATTAGCTGACACTCACACTGGAGCTTAGTTGATTTGAAAGATCATTTTTGGAAGGAAGATTAAGCTTTTGCATCCCAATTCTTTCCTAAGCTCTGTCCTAATCAATTATCTTTTCTCCCATCCTAGGGGAGATTTCCTAACCCAAATACACCTGCAAAGTGCCTTTAATTTCTTTCTGCAGTGGAAGAGGAGGGGGAAAAATGCCTTTTGCTTTTTGCTTGACAATGATAACAGGTAAACCAGTGACCACAAGAAGGATTTCAAACCATAGGTGTCTCTGCATGCCCCTCTGCCTTTCCCTTGAGCCAGCTTTTGGCTTGAGTGGCCCAGCCAAGAGGACTCAATGTGGATGGAGAAGGTGGCCAGCCTCAAGCCAGCTCTGCCAGGAAAGGTTTTGTGCAGCCCTCTGTGCTGCTCAGTTTGCCTCAGCATCACCCTGGTAATAATCCCAGGGCAGGAGCAGCTTCCTTGCCTGCCTGGGAGGAAGGGAAGGGGGCAAGCCCTCACGAGAGGAATCGGATCAGAAAAGAGAAGAAAACTCGTGCTGCCCTGGAAACACCTTTGTGAAAGGGAGAAGAGTCATTCTCCAGTGTTCATAGTTTGTTCAGAGAGAGCCTGGTCTAAACATTTTCCTTTATTCACTCCACTTAGGAGATCTGTGCTAACGTTTGGTTTAATTTTATTAATATTGGAGTATTAGTATTAATTATTAATAGCAAGATGTGCATTAATTTTTAACATTATATTAATATTTATCTTGCAGATATGCTATAGAATAATGATGGTATCACAGCAAACCGTAGAACTTTCCATGTTTATTAGCAGAAAGCAATTTCAGGAAAGGACACCACCATATATAATGAGTTGCTGCCTTAATTGGATTACATGCTCATTAGGAAAGGTGAAGCAAGGTGTTTGGGGTTTGCGGGTGCACAGCTGGCTGAGCAAGAATGCGCCTGTAAGCCTGGGGGGCTGGAGGCAAAGCTCTGCTGCTGAGCAGGAGAAACCCAGCTGAAGCTCAGCCTCCTCTGCATCCTCCTGCCCACAATCCCCCCCTGGGAAATTTGGTCACTTTAAAAAAAAAACAAAAAAAAGTTACAAAGTCTCTGAGTAAGGGGGTGACACAAAATAAATTCTCCTGGTTGTGTGGCAAAGGGGACACAGCTCTGCATGGGTACTTAGTCAGGAGACAAGTCACCCTGGCCACAAGCCTGGTGTTACAGAAGAAATAGCTGAAAAGAGAGTGACCCACTGAAGGATGAAGATTATCTCTGTGGTGGAGAGGACAATATGGAACAAGCTATAGCTGTATGGACAGCTCAAAGGTAAGAAAAAACATTAGGGTTGGTGTTATTCTCTTGCAGGTGGGCTGGAAACTCGAGACTTGTTGTTACCCCAAAACTCTAGTGTGGTAGAAGATCTTACAGCCTACCTTGTTAGGAGGTACTTTGCTAATTTGCCTAATCAGCATGATGTACTGTGATGGTGTGTGATAACAGCAAGTATGACCACAGACTGAGGTCCTAGCTGATGCCTTCCCTTCCCTAGTAGCTCTCTGATTTGTTATTACTGCACAGATGGATATTCAAAAGAAACAGAAGGTGCTAAGAATCCCTTGATTTAAACAAGATGTCTTGGGAATTTGATCTTGACAATGCATAACATGTTTTCCAGAAGGAATTAGAAAATTGCAGGAAGAGAAAAGACTGTGCAAATACAAGAGGATTTGAACAATAGCAGAATCAATGTGCCTCTCCCTGTTCTGTAGATAGGAAATGCCAAACCAGCGGGGGTCCAGCTGTTGGGCTAATCAATAATTCTGAGCACAGTGATGGAGATGGGTTTAAAGCACATCAAGCATACAGCAGATCACCTATCATTTTTCAAGGAGAGTCCTGAGGGCGTGCAGGCTCAGCCCAATGCAGAAGGATACACCTCAGTGCTGTGGCAGGGCAGATTCCCCTGTATGATCTAGCTGCCTTGGTGGATGGTAGCAGCCTTTGAGCCCCTCTGCCCAGTCAGCAGGGCTGTGGAAGGCTGAGTGTGGAGAGGTGAAGCACAGTCAGCCTGGTACACTGGAGGCAGGATGT